AGGGATTATTTCAGAGAAACCAGAGAAGACATATATTAATGGATATAGTAACTGTGCAGAATCAGGAGAACAATTTATACAATAATAACAACAACATAAAGAGAAATAACTTCAAAATACTTAGGAAGTCTGATCAAAGCAAGTGATGGGGGATGGGATTTGTGCTGGACCCCTAAAAGGAAAAGACCATATCTTTGGGACCTGGACCCCTAAGCCCCTGAACCCAGATCTCTGGCATTTGCCTGAGGCACCAGGTCCATGCCAGTCAATAATCCTTTTAAGTGCCCTTTCATTGTGGCCCTCATTATCTGCACCTGGCCCACTCCTTGCCACTCCTCAATCCCATCTAAATCTTCTCACAGTTTTTTTGTATAAAATTGTTAATCTAAATCCCTCAGATTCTTAAAATCTGGCCCATTTGTACTGGCATCACAAAGAGTGCAGACTAACTAGGAATCTCACCCACCCCAACCCGTGTCTTATAAACTCACTACTTGGAATGAAAGAAGGCTCAAGTGGTCAAATTCTTTTGAGGCAGGCCCTTGCTCTGTACCCTTGCGTTTTGGGGTTCCCAGTACCCCTAGACTGCATCACAATCACCTACTACTAATCCAAAGCACAGACAATGAAGCATGCTACTGAACTCTTATGACAATGGACTCAAGTTATAGAATAAGACATACATTTTCATATATGGCCAATTTGTTGAGGAATTTATTTGCCTTGCTTGTACAAAATAAGAACAAAAACAAAACTAATAGAATTGGTGGAAAATGTTGATTCAGGAGAAAGATTAGGAACTCTTTAGACCAACACCTTATACTACATATCCAAAAGCTCTAAATGACTTAGATATAAGAGGTCACATTATAAAGAAATTATAGGAGAATGGAAGAAATTACCTCTTATGTCGTCTCTGAATGGTTCACGACTAAGCAAATGAGAGAGACGATAACACAAAATAAAATGGACAATTTTAATTACATAAAATTTAAAAGTTTTTGCATAATAAAATCTAATATAATAAAAATTGTAAGGGAAACAACTGAGAAAATTGCCTTGCAATAAGATTCTCTGATAAAAGTTTAATTTCCAAAATATATAAAGAATTGGTTCAAATTTTAAGACTGCTGAGCATACTGGTGAATGGCTGTCATCCCTTCTACCAGGAGGGCTGAGGCTAGTAGATATTTTGAGTTTGGAGAGGCTGAGGTTCACGGATCTCTTGATCTTGGGAGTTCTGAATTAGAGTGGGCTAGGCTAATAGAGTATCAGTAAGTTTGGCATTAATATGGTTCATCTCCAGAAGCAGGGGGCTACCAGGTTGCCCAAGGAGGAGTGAACCAGTCCAGGTCCAAAACAGAGCAGGTCAAATCAGCCCAGGAATAGTCACTGTACTTTTAACATGGACAACACAGAGTGAACCAGTCTTTAAAAAAAAGAAGAAAAATCCAAGGCATTCCTCAATAGATAAATGGGCAAAGCATATCAATAGGCAGTTTTTAAAAAAAGACATGCAAGCTACCAAAAATCATGAAAAAATGCTCCAAATCACTAATAGAGAATGCAAATTAAAGCAACTCTGAGATTCCACTCACACTTTTCACAATGGCAAAGAAGACAAAATCAGAAAATGATAAATGTTAGAAGGCCTTTAGGAAACATGTTCACTGATGGTGAAGCTGCGAATTGGTCCAGCCATTCTAGAAACAATTTTGAACAATGTCCAGAAAGTTACCAAACTGTGCATACCCTTTGACCTAGCTACATTACTACTAGGCCTATACTTTCAAAGAAATCAAAGAAAGAGGAAAAAGATTAATATGTGCAAAAATATGTCTAGTAACTCTTTTCATTTTAGTTTGAAATTGTAAAACAAGGAGTTGTCTTCCTACTGTTGAATGGCTCTATGAATTGTGGCATATGCATGTAGTGGAAAACCATTTTGCCATGTTAAATGATGAAATGTGTAACTTCAGAAGTAACTGGGAAGATCTTTTTAAACTGATGCAAAGGAAAGTGATCAGAAATAGGGGAACAATTTATACAATATTAACAACAGTATAGAGAAAAACAACATTGATTTTAAAATTCTGATCAGTGCAATGATAAACCACAAGTCCAAAAGAAGATAAAACAGGTCACTCAATTCCTCACAAAGAGGTGATGAATTTAATATGCAGAAATAGGACTTGTGGGAATGCATCTTTTTTGGACTTTGAAGCTATGTACTGAGGGATTTGTTTCTCAGCTTAATTATAAATTATATTTATAAATTTATAATTTAATAAGTTAATTATAAATTATTAATAAAAAGATCATAAACTCCATTTTGTACATGTTGAATTTGGAGTATCTATGGGTTATTTTCTCTTGGAAATGACCAAGAGATAATCCAACCAGGAGACTAGGGAGGTTGGATAGATCTGAAATAATAATAATAACAATAATACTTAACACTTATATAGCACTTACTGATGCAGTTTAAGGGTTCAGGGGTGCTGGGACCCCAAAATCACAACACGAGGGTCCTGCCTAAAAGAATTTGACCCAAATCTTCTTTCAGGAAAAGACAAGGTTTATTAGCAGAGGGAAGGAAGTAAGTAAACCTCAGGGAGAGGAGGCTTACATACCTTCCAGTCTTGGCTTGAGAAGAATTTGGGATTAGGCAGTTTCCCTGTACGGGCCACCAAAACTATGCGGTTTAGGGGTTCAGGGGTGGTGGGACCCCAAAATCACATGTGGGTCCTGCCAGAAAGAATTTGACCCAAGCCTTCTTTCAGCCAAAGACAAGGTTTATTAGAACATCCATCATATTGGGCTGACTCTTAAGGAGTCTAAACATGGGTAAGCAGTGGTTAGATTATAAGAATCTAAGCAGTGGCTAGATTTTAAGAATCTGAGCATCTTAATGGAGACAAGATGGATCTTACATACAGAAAGACTGTGGGAGGGGTCTAGGAGTGGCCAAGTAGTTTGGGGTGATGGGAGGAAGGGCCTAAGGAGATCTGGATGGGAGTGGCTAGTAAGCTGGGGTGAACAGAACTCCTGGGACCTGGACCTTGTGGGCAAGGGAGAATGGAGCCTAGCTAGGATTAAGGGAGGGAAATGGCCGGGAGCCATAGGGAGGTAAGACAATGGAGGAGAGATTGGGCATAGCCACAATGAAAGGCCAGTTGATGGGATTACAGCCTCAGGGGAAAGCCAGAGATTTGGCCATGTGGGAAAGTCCAGGGTTTTTCCTTTCTGGGGCCCAGATTCCAACCCCATCACTTACAGTGCCAGGCACTGTTCTAAGTGTTATCTTTATCAACATAACGGATTCTGTGAAGCCATTGTTGAATCAGGAGAAAGCTTTATTAATGACCTGGGAAGGCCAGGCTTCCATCACGTGTGAGAGCACACACGTGAGAGCGCATGTATGGACAAATGCACATCTTTTTATTCGCTATTCCCCATTTGAATTTCCCATTTCCCCATTAGCTGGGTACTATAGACATTACAGCCTATCTCAAGCACCTAATTTCCCCACTTGAGTCTCCCCCCCAATTACATCTCCCACTCCCCACAATTAATCTGTGCCTAACCTCAGAACTGGTTTCCCACCTGTTAGTCTATTCACCACCAAGAGTATTTTCTTATTCTCATATAACTGCCTTTGTTCATCTTCCACCTAGCCCTCCCCCCCCATTGCATTCTTTTCCACTATGAGAAGTTTTTTGTGGAAAAACTTTTTCTGACTCCAACCTCTGATTGAGTGATATGCAGAAGCAACATCCATATATCCCACACTAAGTGCTTTACACTTATGATCTCATTTAATCCTGACAACAACCCTGGGAGGTTGGCGTTACCATTATCCTCATTTTACAGATGAGTAAACTGAGGCAAACAGAATTTAAGTAACCTGCCCAGAGTCACATAGCTGACAATTGTCCCTGGGTGACATTTGAATTCAAGTTTGACTCCTAGCTCGAGCTCCTTCCACTGCTATCTACAGAGAAAGAACAACTGAACCGATGGGAATTTATGAGTGCACCAAGTGAGGGAATGCGGAGGGAAAAAAGGGAAGGGCCTAACAGTGAGTCTGGAAGACCTAGAGCTAGGTAGGGGGCAGGATGTCGATGAGGAGCAGTTAGAAGAGAACAAAAAGGTCATCTACAATGGCAAATGTTGCTTAGAAGTCAAGGATGAAGATTGATTAAAGGCCACCGGATTTGTCAATTTGGAGTGGTGGGGGCGGAGGGGGAGGAGGGAGAGACAGAGAGACTGGGCAGATTTTGGGGAAGAGTTCTTTTCTTTTCCCTGGATTGTAAACTCCACGAGGGCAGCAGTGACAGTCTATGCCCCTTCGCCTATCCGTAACCCTCCCACAAATGAGATGGTGCAGAATGTTCATTCATTCAGCGCCCGGCACAGTACACCATAAGCGGCTAATAAATGGTTCAGTCTGAGCGATTTTCCCCGCAGGTCTGACCCCAGGCCCTCCTGGACACCCCGAGGTGTCTCTACAGCACTCCCCTCCCCTCCCCCATCGGCCCCAACGGTCGCTGGGGGGGAGGGGCAGCGGTGGAGGGAGGGGAGCCCCTACGGTCACAGCCCTTCGACGTCCCTAAAGGGCGCCTGGGTGTATGTGTGTGTGCATTTCAAGAGCAGATGACTGGGCCGGGGTGGGCCCGTAGCGGAGAGCCCCGGGTGGCCCCAAGGCGGGAGCGGCGGAATTTCCCCACCGTAACTACCTTGGCGGCCGGCAGATGGCGCCAACGGCCACGTCCGCCAAGACGAGCGGAGAATCTTCGGGAAGGTGGCGTGGGGGGGGCGGGGCGTAGGAGACGCAGATCTCGGGCAGACGCGGCAGCTGTCACCACCGCCGCGGCCGCCGCCTCCAGCCCAGCGGCTTTAATGGTGGAAGGGAAGTGGAGCGTCGCCGCATTGCTCCGACGTCTGACGCACTTCCTGTTTGTTGTTGGAGAAACGGAGAGAAAGGAGAGCGCGAGGAGTCGTCGCCGCCGCCGCCGCCACCACCACCACCACCAGCAGCGCCGGAGCCGAGAGGAGACCGCGGGCCTCGCCGCCCAGCCCCTTCTCCTCTTCGCCGCCAGCTGCCAGCCCCCCTCGGGTAAGGGAGGCCCCAACCGGGTCCCGGGACGCAGGGAGGAGGGGGCCGGGCCGGGCTGAGCCGCGGCGGGGGCCGGGTGGACGGGCGGCAGGCGGATTTGTTTCCGGCGCCTTAGCAACGGCGGTGTTGATGACCCGTCCGGCGCGCTGGCGCGCCGGCTCCCCGGGCCTCGCGGCCTGCGTGCGAGGCGGGGCGGGCACCTGGGTCTCCGCTTCCAGCCCGGGCCGCCGCCTCGGGTGTCCTTGCCCGCCGCCGGGCATCCGGCTTCTGCGGCCCAGGCCGTTGGGGGAGGGGGCGGAGGACGCGCCCGGGCGCTCGGGGCCTCGCCCCCGCACGGGTCTCGGCAGCCTCCGCCGCGGTGTCTGTTTGGAGGCCTCTCAGCCCGTCCCCCGCCGTCCTGGGGTCCGAAAGCCCGAACCCCGGGCGGGGCGGGGAAGGCGTTGAAAGCCTCCGGATGGTCATGGGGACTTAGGGGAGCCGCGGGCCGGGGGCTGCCGCTCGTCGGTCTGCGGGAGAAGGCGGATTGATTTTCCTAGTGTCACCGGCTAGCGCAGTGCCTCTATTTTCTTGTCATGACCAAAATTAGGCCCCTTCTCCCCCAAAGAGCTGTTGTTTAGATCAGAATGTGAACGCCTAACCGAACGGGAACCACGTTTGTGTACACTTCGGGGATCCTCCTCGTTCAGTCCGCGTTTATTAATGGCCTACTGTGTGCCGAGCGCCGGGCTTACCGAGAAAGGCAAAGAGAAACGGGTGTAGACGAGATGGAAACAGGGTTTCCAGAAAGGTAGAGGTGTTTTGTGGGCTGGTCAGATGGTTTTAACTTGGAGTTGCCAGGCTCTGCGAATCCTGAATTTGAATATTCTGTGTGGAAGGCCATGCGGAGGGGGTGGTTCGTGTCATCCCCCAGATGGGACCGAAGTCTCCTGCAAGTTTGGGGGAGGTGCAGTAGGGAGGCAGATGGGAGAGCTTGTTTTTAGTTACCCAGTTCTGCCCTTTTTTCAGACCTTTTTTTGGGTAAACTTTTTATTAGGATAAAGGTAAGAGTTGGAGGAATTTTTTTTTTTAAGCATAAACTATGAGGATAAAGCTAAGAGAATTGGAGGAAATACCAGCTACTAGAATTTAGCTCATTTTATCCTCGACACAACCTCGGGAGATAGGTGCTGTTCTATCTATTTTTACACATGAAGAAATTCAGGCAGATAGGTTAAGTGACTTGCCCAAATTAACACCACTAGTAAGTGACTGAGGCAGAATTAGAAGTCACTAATGAACCCTGACTTAAGATCCAGCACATTATAAAACTTCAAAGTAAACATCCCCTTATTAGTATAAAGGTAACTTGTAGTTCAGTTCTACGTTAAAAAAGTCAACCGGTTTGTCAGTGCAGCTAGGTTATGAAATTCCTGGTAAAAAGGATGTTAATCAATTTCTATGAAAGTTTAAAGAAGAGGAAAAAATCTAAACCACTATCAAATTTGTTCACTCCAATATACTTATTTCTCTTATGAAAGTACAGTTTTTAGTTGCTTAGCTTTTATGTAATTAACAGGTCAAATGAACGATTCTCCAAAAGGATTTGACATTGGATAGATAACAGCAAACAAAATTTGGGAAATGAGTAATATATACTATATATCTATTAATTCTGATATTGCTTCATATACTTGTCCAGTTGTGGAATCCTGGGCAGCTATCTCATTTAATCTATGTTTGCTTTAAGTTGCTTCACCTGTAAAATGGGGATAATTTCACTTAACCCCCCAGAGTTGTTAGGAACAGATGAGATATTTGTAAAGCACTTAGTACAGGGTCAGGCACATAGTAGGCACTTAATAAATTCCTCTTTCCCTCCAATGCAGAGTTTCTTTCTGGGATATAAGAGATACTTTTGGATGTGTTAGCATCTCTGGAAGGTAATATGCTATATTTGTTTAGTTTGGAAAATGCAAATGGATGTTCGTTCACACTACACGTTTCTTAGTATACAATATGTTCTGTTAAGTGTTTTATTGTAGAATTTGAAGTTAGGAGAGAAAAGGCATCTTGTTTCCCTAACTGTAAGTGTAGGTACTTCAGATAGAATTTTGCTTACATCAGAGAAAAAAAGTAGTGTGTGAGGGTGTTGTGATTGAACAAAGAAAGGTGACTTGTAAGGACTGAAGTGTTTAATTGAGATTCTGACTTGGCCCACCCACACCTCTTCCAAACGTTTTATCCTCATAGTTTTATATCTCAAAGTAGTGGGGCTTGCAGGCTGTTTTTTGCTTTGGAGGTCAGAATGATCCAAAGAGAAAGATAGATGTCAGTCCAGTACTGAGATGATTAAAACCTGGACAAGTGACACATTCATGTATCAAAGATGTTTGATTGGGTTTAGGAAATTCAGTCAAGGAGGAAACTCTACCAGTGCTTATCATCACTGTCTGATGATAGGTTGATAGTAGAAGTTGCTACTTCAGTAATTTAAGTTTTAAAAGAGTGGCTTGGGACAGGAGGCTAAATAATTTGCCTAGAGTCACCTAGCCAAAGTATGCCAGTTAGATTTTAAATCCAGATCTTCCTGATTACTAAACTAATTTTCTGTGCACTTCTTGACACTGATTCTCATAATATCCCCCCCTCCCCTCAAATGATTTTGGAAAAGTTGGCTCTAGGGAAAATTACATATATATCCCTTTTTAAGCAAAACAGGAGACAATGTAGTGTAGAATGCATTAGACTTATAGTTGATTTCTATCTAGTCCTGTTTAGCCACTAGCTAGCTTTGTGACCTTGATAAATAACAATATGTGCTTCTGTTTCTTTATCTGTAATATGAAAGAATGGAGGTCTCAGCTTTAAACTAGGTCTTGGCTCTAAAACTCTTACTAGAACTTTTTACTGAATGTGTTTTATGAAACATCAAACATCTTATTCTTTTTAAAAATGCCTCAAAAGAATCTCAGTTTCATAGGTTTTAGATATACTTTACACATACACTGGTTGCAGTCTTTCCATTGCTTTAGTGGACAGTTTAATATAGGGATTATTAATCTCTTTTGTGTCATGGACCTTTCTGGCTCTCTGAAATTAAGGAGCTCTTACCACAGTGTTTTTGAATGCATAAATTATGTGACATAACAGTTACAAACAAACAGTTGCAAAACAAAAAGCAAAAACCATCAAACAAAAAAACCAAACCAAAACAAAGTAGTTTGATACTTTGATACCCAACCAAGTTAACAATTTCTGATTTAAACAATTGATGTACCTGCAAAAAAAATCATCTTCTGTGAATTCTTTGTGCCTATCTAAACTAGTCTTGGGTAGCAGTTCTTCACCAAGTCTGGACCAGAAATCTTTCCAGGAAGGACAGAAATTTTTCTCTCTGGTGTAGCCCTGGAGAAGTCACATTTAGGCAGCAACATTTACCATGGGATTCCTTCAAATATAAGTTTGTAGAGGTTTAAAATTTATGAAAAATAAATTTAAGCAACTTTTAAGAATATTTCTTTAATTTAGTGTACTCTTGAATCTGCAATCCAAGTAACATTATACTAATTTTCATCATAAAATTGGATATATGTTCTAATGGAAATATTTTGGTCTCAGTACATATTTACCTGAAATAAAAGATTATTTCCTCCCTCCTAAATTCTGGGGTTCTTTTAAATTCAAATAGACACCACCTAGCGGAGAAACATGACAAGGATTTGGTCAGTTTTCCAAATGTGAGATCAGATAATTTATAGCTAATGGATGTGAAAAATATACAGTACCTTAAGGCTGGGAGTGTTACTAAAGATAATTTTTTGAGTTTGAAGAAATTGAAGGTAGTGAAGAAAGAAAAATAAGTAGATACAGAGAGTGATAAAAACTCGAAGTATAAAATGAAGTAAGAAATGTGAGGTATAAAAACTGAAAGACATCTGAAATTGAAAACTAGACTTCTGATAAATCCTTAGGGACTTTTTGTTATGTCCTTGTAAATTGAATACAACTATTAGGTACACTTTCCCTGTAACTTTTTTGTTTTTTGTGTTTTATTTTACCTTTTGGTGAGGCAGTCGGGGTTAAGTGACTTGCCCAGGGTCACACAGCTAGTGTCAAGTGTCTGAGCCTGGTTTTGAACTCAGGTCTCCTGACCCCAAGGCCAGAGCTCTATCTACTGCACCACCCAGTTGCCCCCTATAACTTTTTTGTAAGGGGGGAGGACATTTTCCTTTCAGGGTTAACATGATGATTCTAGGAAAAAAAGGTGGTTTTTTTTTTTTTTTTTGGTAATGAAGCAATACTACTATGCTCATAAGTCATAAATGCTGCTCTGAGAACTACTATACTGGCAGCCACAAGATGTTATTATGGGGTTCCTTTTGAAATTATCTAACTTTATCGAGAGCTGTAACAAGCTTTTAGAACTTCTTTGTAAAAGGGTTTTTGCTTGATCTGCTAATCTTTTATTTAGCAACACTGGCTAGGGCAAAGTATTTGTTTGACTCTCTGGAGCCTCCTGTAAAGGTATCATTATCATGTTTTATAATTTCCTTAAGTGTTTATAGTGTTGTGTTGTTTCTTTTTTAAACTGGTATATGAGCATTATAAAGGGTAGAACTTTGAAATGGTAGAAGATTCAACGACAATTTGAATTTGAAAGTGATTAATTGTTTTATCTTTTCTGGGATATAAGGCTAGAACTATAAGGTTGAGTAATCTTAGTTTGGAAGAACTCCCAGTTTGCTTTTTTTTATTTTTTAATGCCCAGCTAATATGCTCAACATTACTATCTGGCCATCTCATTTATTCTTTTACTTGTTGACTTATTATCAACATAATTATTTGAAAAGTTTAATGTAGAAATTAAGGCTGTGAGGCTTTTTTTATTACATAGAAGCTTCCATTTATTAAATATCCTTTTTTTTTTCTTGGGGTGAGGCAATTGGGGTTAAGTGACTTGCCCAGAGTCACACAGCTATGAAGTATCAAGTGTCTGAGGCTTGATTTGAATGCAGGTCCTC